ATAAACCCCCTGTACAATACAAGACAAAAACGTGGACTAATCAATGCTCTAGGTTCTATTGTAAAAGCAATTACCGGAAACTTAGACCAAGACGATGCTCACAAATACGAAAAAGGAATAGAAATATTATCCAGCAATCAATATCAAATTAAAACTCAAGTAAAAGATCAAATAACACTATTTGAAAAATCAATCGAAATTTTTGTGAACAACATCAGTTACTATTAAAACGGCGAATAAATGAAATTGAAGGACTTCTCCAAACTATGGAAGTAGAAAGTATTGACACTTACTACTTTTTCTTCATCGAAATGATAGTATCCCAATTAGTAACAGAATTTCAATTAATTTATGACATTCTAGAAAAACTAGAAACCGCCATAACTTTTGCAAAAATTAATAGCTTGCACAACTCCATCATCAACCCAAATGAATTACTACAAGAGTTACAAAACATCTCCAAAAATTTTGCAAATAGCAAATTACTTTTCGAACCAAAAGAAGAAAACATTCTTGTCTTTGAGAAAATCATTCAAATAAAATCCTACAGTAAAGGAAATAAACTCATGTTTATAATCGAGGTACCCATAGTGGAAAAACAAAACTATAATTACTTTCAGTTGTACCCATTACCAGTATTCAAGAATAACTCTTCTAAAATAATAATTCCTCATTAAAAATATTTAATTTTAAATGAGCAGTACCACTTCTTTTCAAATAAAGAATGCAAAGAAGTAGTTTCTGAAGAGTTAATTTGCCAAGAAGAAAATCCACTACAATCAACAGAAGACTCCCCATGTGAAATCCAACTACTGAAATGTTCGAAGAATCTGTCAAATTGTCGACTGATTCCTGTGAACATCAACCACGAAAAAATCCAAAAACTAGAATCTAACAAATGGATCCTAGTAAGCCCTGAAACAATAGTCGCAGTTCGAAAGTGCGGGAACAACAAAGAAAACATTCCATTAAAAGGAACTTTCTTAATCGAACTAAACGAAAATTGTGAACTAAAAATTAGAAACAATATTTTACGAAATCTCGGAAATGTCGTGCAGAAATATGAAAACATTGCTCTACCAAAAACAGACTTTATTAATTTCACACGAGAAGACCCAGAAGAATTCAAACCTTTAACATTGGACAATTTAGACTTGAACGAAATAAGTGCAGTTAGAAGTGCTTTAGAAATAAGCAAACAAAAAATTAATTTATCTGAAACAGAATTAATAACATTTCAACATATTGACGGATGGTCAATCTTAATTTACATCATTCTAATACTAATAATTTTGTTTGTTGCATATAAGTTTTATAGAAAAAGGTGCAGCAAGCCAGACGACCCGAAACCAATCATCAGAGAAAGAACACCAAATTCTGAGGCCAA